TTTCTGGCATCGCGTGCGGTTGTTAGTTTCCTGCCAGTTCTGATAGCTGTAATTATTAGGTCTTACGTCCTATCCCTGCCGACACATAAATTTTGACTTTACGATAGAGTAGGACATAGCTTCTAGTATAGGAATTACTTGTGTTGTCTTTGACTAGTGTACAACATTTGATTGAAATTTGACTATTCTATTTAGTTGCATCAATACAAGACAGTCCCTTCTCAATTCTGTTTAAATAAAAAAGTTATTTTTAACCTTCTCACGACTTTGTCGTCTAGTGATAATTTGCTATACGTCTGTTAGGGTTATTGGACTATTTAGCATTACTAGATCAAGTGAAATCCTACAAAACCTTGCTTATAAATAAATATGTATGTATCTTAAAAGCTCCATTTTAAACATTCTCAACTGGAAATTTAATATGTATCGGGAAATATTCTTTTGAAGTCACCAAAAAATTTTAATTGATGCTACTTCGGGTAATTTTGATCATATGAGGATTTACGCATAGCATCACGGGACAGAAGGTACTGAAGCCTGAATAACTAACTTATTTCTTAAATTATAGATCAGCTACAGTGATTTCAGTTTTTTAGAACTTCTTCTCAAAAGAGGTCATGTCACATTCTAAACACCACTAAAACGAAGTAATTAAAATATTTTTAGTCCAAAGGAGCTTTGTCCCTGAAGGACTATTGTTTTCGTATGGTGATTTTGCGTTGAATCACTATAAATGTCCGTTTCCCTTTTCAAACTGTTGCCACCAAATGTTAGAGTCCTGCATTATATTTGAAAAAAATTAAATAATGAAAAATCTGCATAAATGTATGTATATTTCTCGCATTGTAATAAAACAACGGTACATAGAGCCATCGAATTTTAAATGACGTAAATGACGCAATGGCAACACTCTACGGAAAAAAAAAACCTTTTTATCTCCAGAAAGCGGAACTGTTTATCGGAAATTCTAAAGATATGCTCATTTTAAAATTATTTTGCGACATTGCTGTTAGAACTGAATTTTATGGTTTAAGTGCAAAGAACATGATATTTAATGAATAAAGGTAACACACAAAACGTTAAAAAAACACCGCTTTGGACGTAATTTAAAATCTGAAACCTTTCAGATTTTTTTTCCCCTGTTTGATTTACACAGGTATTGATTAGTAAAATGCATTTCTAATTAGATATTCCCAATGAAGATTCATTCGTTTTAAAATGTGAGAGTTGACTTACCAGCGTAGATAAGAAAATCAGCTGCGCGTTTTCCAGATATCAAATCGTGAATCTTAGTCAGAGCATGAATATTCTAATTATTATATTCGAAATGCAAGCATGAAAGGAATGCCATGATTTACTACAACATGTTCTAGTTGTTTAAATAATCAATGCTAATTAAGAACTAAGCAAAATTACGTACATATTTTTAAATATTTGTTCATTACTATAGACAAATTAATTGGAAAAATGTTAATAAAATAATACGGATGGAATTTTCATATTTTTTCTCCAAAATAGTTAAATCAAACTATCACATTAAAAGAATGTTTCCTCCTTGATCGAATTAACCTGAATTTTATTACCTTTCTTTGCAATCAGGGTTTGAGATTGTTAAGGCAGAGCATGTTTCGCCTGTTGAAGGCCACGTTGCTAGGTTTGTTATTCTAAGGTAAGAGTTCCTGTCTTAAGGCGTTGCATTATACTTGATGATAGCTTAAATTTACGCGGGTGAAGCTTAGCCAACTTCAAGTAAATCTCTCTGTATAGCATTTGGCTATTAGTCTATTTAATTTACCTTTACATTTTACTTACTGCCTTCAAGTTTCTCGCCATTAATGCTGTCGGAGTTGCAAGCATAAAGGGTGCCTTTTGTTCATATTATTTAGTTTTAAATAAAGGATCTTTTGCACCTTTTCAATTTCTGATATACTTAGCGATTAACGTCTATATAGAGTTTAACATCGTATAATACCCAACAGAGTTAAACGTTTTTTTTTTTTTAGAGTTTTCAATTTTTCCCGAGTTTTCCAGTTTTCCATTCGTAAGCAAGTTTCCTCAATACTTTATTACAGAAATCATTCTAATCAAGCAGATATTTCACAAAGACTTCAAATAGTCAAATATTAACTAAGTTAGAAAAATGAATTAAAGAATTCAAATTTCATGAAAAGCAAGAGATTATTTAAGATAGTAATTGCTATATTTTTTTACATTTTAACTCAACCCTGTGGAACCAATCGAAACTAAAACCGCTGAACCGCAAAAGTTTCAAAATTAGTTTTTCTTTTCCAAAATAATGTCGTTACCTAAAGATGAGCTTTGGAGACTTTTCTGTAGGAAACAAGTATTGTAGTTTTCCATCAACTTGCTACACACCTCAAAGTTAATTAAATGTGCAAAGAATTACATATAAAATTTTTACAACATTTATTTATTGTTGTCAATGAAAATGGTCTTTTTTCATTTAATTTACTGTTAGATGGAAATCGTCTGTTATTAATAACTGTTAAATCTTATAGCGGATATCAAGCTTTGTCATGAAACTATTAATAAAATTTGTTTTTAATTTCTTCTACCAATCAAAGAATTCTGAATCCTTCTAGGATTTAAAATCAAAAATAAATAAGTAAATAAATACTTCTGAGAAAGAGATTTACATTAATTACATTTCTGTACTCACTTCTTTTTTGTTCAGCAGAAATACTAATAGTTTAGAGAATAAAAAATTTCGTTTCATAATCAATTCATCATTTTATTCTATTACGACGAAAACTTTTAATTCCAAACTTACAAACACTAAAGAAGGAATAAGAGGTACATTTTTATTTCCTCGTGCGAAGTAAAGGGAATAATGCAATCTCGGAAAATTTCCAATATCATATTCCAATAGAAGTATTCATTTTAACCGTTCCCGAATCTATTTAAACTTTTTTTTTTTTTTTTCTTCATGTCCGTACGTACGGACAGAATAAATGACTCTTTTTTCCAAAACGAATTGTAAAATGTATTTAAAGTGGACTCAAAATGCAGTTTTTCATGATGTCTGTACGTACGTATGCATATCGTGTAACTCAAAAAAGATTAGCCGTAGAACTTTAAAATTTTATATATGGGACCACTGTAACATTTAGTTGTGCATTTCCTTTTTTTTTCGTTTCAATCGGCTGCACAAAACTTATACATACACACTCTCCCCTTTACCGGGCTTAAAAGTCCTTACCCGGTCTTTATTTTTGCAATCGTTGGTCGTTCCAGTTACAGAAATATTTTAAATGTCAAAAATATTCTTGTTTTACCAGTGCCAAATTTAAAAAGAGTTAATTTTCGACAAATAACGCAATCTATTTTTTAATGAGATCTCCTGGTTCCCACACTTATATAAAGTTTTATACGTGTTATGAAAAAATAAAATTATAAGGAACTTGAACCCGTACGATAAAAATTAACCTGGATATTTAATTTTAAAATTTGCAGTTTTTGACGTCATTTTCCACTTTCTTGAGAGATCGGGTATTCTTGTTAGATTAATTCGAAGAAATAAGTTTAAATGGAAAGCAACAAAAAATTTATATGTTTAATAGGCCGTACAAGGAAGTCATTTGGTTACACATCAGAATTTTTAAATTACTTTCGCTTTCGTTTGTCGTTAATCGGGTGCTAGATTCAAATTGTGGTTAAGGTTCAAATTCACAATATTTATAGTCGCTTATTCTTATCTATCGCTGCTTATCTTTTCTTTTAAACACTTCGGAAAAGGGGTTATATTTGTTATCTTGACGTTTGTAACATAGCAATATAAAAATTGTTGCCTTTTCATTTGCGCGAAATACTTGTTCCAAACCTCATAAGCAAGCGATCTAGTGAAAAAATATATGCACCTAAGCTTTGTTGAATAATTATGTCTCTCCTTTGTTTTTTTAAATAACTGCAAGATATCTTCATGTCGTTTAAATGATTGAATTAATATCATACCAAGTTCTTCTTCTACTTTGAATGTTCCATTGATTATTTTGAAATACACAGCTTTGGGTTTATTTACAATTTGATCGATGTCAACGGTCAAAATCAGTAAAGCTTAATACTGCGAGGAGAAATATTTAAATACAATTTAGAATTTTTGTTTCCCGTGACGTCAGAGACGTTATTCTACAGAATTAATTTAAACAAAAGTATACAGATTCGATACACTTTCTGGTGAGTAATTCTTTTGGTTCTTTCCCCATAAGTTAATTTTATTAAAATTCTTTACGTATGTGGCTGCATTTCTTTGCAAAAGAAGAATCAGTTATGATTCTATATCGTTAATTATTAATTAATAAAAACTTAATTAGTAATGCATTATTTTGTTGGGATTTAAAGGTAAATTACAGCGTTGTTATTACTACTTAAAATAGAAGCATTTGCGAGAAATTCTTTAAATATGCCATCACCTAGAATTATGATCGCTGCAAATATGATGTTTCAAACTGACATTATTTATAACATTAATAAAAAGAATTGAATAATGATTTTTTTTTTCAAATGTTAGTCTGTAATTTAAAATTTTTAAATTGCAGTCGGTTTTGTCTTTTAGCATTTCTGAAGTACTGTACAACAAACATGTTTATTGAAAATTTTGCTGTAACTTTAGTGAAATTTGGATAAAGCGTGTTGAAATAGCTTTTAATAGAACATAAAGTCATATTATGATATATTTTGTCCCATTTATGCATTTATAAATAAGTTTTTTAAATTCCTTGGAATTTATCAGGGGGAGCGGAGTTTGAGAAAAGTTAAGGCTGCCTTAGGTACTTTAATTTAAGGTAAAATGAATTTGACTTCGGATATTTTAAATATAATATTAAGAATGTGCACATTACGTAACATCTAAATTCTTATTACCCAATGCGAGAGATCTTATTAATTGAAAATAAATTGGCGAGTTTTTATGTTGTGTTCTTAAGCGTTTGGCGACCAAACACATTTGACGTCAGTAACGGTAACCTCTATTTTTCCCAGAGTTCAGTTGGAAACAAATATGAACGGTGGAGTTGGTGGTGCCTATGGTGCGGGAAAAGCGGGGTCTGGTTCAGATCCTATATCAATTTTAACGAAACCTCATGTGATTTTAAGACTTTTGTGTTGGGTAAGAAACTGGAAAAATATTCGTGTTATTAATCTGTTTCATATAAAGCCAATTTCAAGATCAGTGGATCCAAACACTGGCCATGTTTGTTATTGATCCGTGCCTTCAGCCTTAGTGATAGCATGACGGGATACATTTGAAATATACTTCTGGATATTACTGCAGAGTTTAATTCATTGGATAACTTTGAAAATTGGCTTTAGTAACTTTTCTTTTCTGTTATACAAAGTTTTTTGCGCGACAGATGTAATATTTAATTACTTTATGTGTCGCAGATTTTGTATTACGTGATTGACACAATCTTTCGTAGGTTAATGTATTAACTTAAAATATATTACTAGCAGGTTTTCGGTTTCATGGAATTAATCAGGTGTTATTATGTACACTTTGAAATGACTGTAATGCATTGTATCACCAGATATTTATCTATCCAAACACAATTGGGCCAAAATTATACTTAACGTCATAATACGCAAAGTACACTTTCGCTTGCTTTGTATCTTAATGAATAACTTCTAAAAAAATTTAGGAAATGTAAACAATTCAAAAAATCCGCGACACGGCTTACATATATAGTCTCATAATCGTGTTCACATAAACCATGTAACATTCTTTAAATAAGTGCTAGGTTGTTTTAGTGCATAATTTCCAAGCATCTAAAACAAGATTTCTCCATTGTTTCATACAGAGCGTTTCTAGATTTATTTTCAATCATCATATGTAATTAGGTGTAAAATTTCTGTAATTCTATTAGTTTCACCATTTATGAACATAAAATTACTTTATTTTAGAGTTTTCTGTCTGATCTTAGATTTTTTTTATGAAAGGAAGTAATAAAATAAGATACATAAAAGAGATTAATAAATTCTAGAGCTTATAATATAAGTGATTATAGATAGTGCTGGTTGGGAAAGAAGATTTTTTCTTCCTTTAAATTTCTCTATGATATTCAAGTTTTCAAATAAATGAAAATTATGCAATGAAGTTGATAATTGTGGTTGTTTTAGACATTTAATTTTTTGTGTAACTAAGCAAGTGCACTAGTAGTATTTTTCTTGGTAAAATTAAAAATGAGTGACATTGCTTCATGTACCAAAATCAAATATATTATACTGTGTAAATTTCAATTTTTGTATAATTTTAAATGTAGATTCATTTAGCATAATTTGCCATGAGAGATCTTATTTTTGTTTATTGAGTTTTTAATTTATTTTAAAATGTTTAATTGGAAAGAGATAATGCTAAAGAAAAATTTTTAATTAGGCAGGGGGGAAAGCAACCTTACATTAGCATAGATTTTGAATAGAATTTCTTCAGTTTTAGGGGAGATCAGGGATTTCTGAAGAAGGAGGACCTATATCTGATCACCTTTGTTATCAATAAGAGTTTTGTGCCAGCCAGAAATTGCTTTGTTGTACAAGTTAGCATCTTTTGTTAGCATTTAAAATGCATTTTGGAAAGCTTTCTTATTAGTAAAATTCTTGATTGTGTCAACAGTTATAGAAATTTAACATGCTCTCTCTGAATACTTGCTTATTGTCTTTGGCTGCTTTAAGATACAGTTCTTTCTTGCTGGAGAAGAGAAATATTAACTAATAAATTCTTAGTTTTGCATAAATAGATGGTACTTTTGTGTTATCAGTTTTGGATTACACTCGTACATATATTCAGATAGAGTTATGGTTAGAAATAAATTTGTATGTTTGTAATCAAAGAGACGTAGCTAGGGTTTTCAGCACTTGGAGACAACTAAAGATTTTGTGCCCCCTTCTGTTTGCTAAAAATGGAAAACATTTCATTCTAAAATTTCGTGACAGCAATTTGGCTCTCCCTGGAGGCCGCGCCTGGGGACAAGTGTTCCCCCTTTAGCTACACCGCTGTAATCAAATAGATGTGAGACTACAGGAGCTACAGTCTGATTTTGCTCATATACATCTTGAAAAGAATTAATAAACTTAATGGTGTCATCTTTGTAACCTTCTTCCCCTCCCCAAAAAGAAAATGTAAAAATTCAGTTGCTGTTTGAAAATTTTAAATTATAGTCAAGAATTAATGAGTCTATAATTAAAATTTAAAAAATGTAAAAATCATTTGATTAAAAGAAGTTGCATCTTGATATGCAGATTTTTGTTTAACACCTAAAATAGTGTTAAGCTAAGGTCCTATGATAGGCCACCTAGTTTAAGAATTAATTTGCCAAGAAGTTTAAGGTAAGGAATTTAAAATCATATGCTTAAAACAAGTTATCAGAAATAGTAGTGACTTGCTGTCATATTTTTTAATCATAAGTTATTGTCAGGAGATTTATTCACTTGTTTAGTAAACAAAAGATTTAATTATTCAAGATGTAACTCTGCATTTATTTCAGTGGGTTGCTCGTATATGGGACTTGCAGCAAATAATTCTGTTAAGGGACAGTTTTTCTAGGATACTTAATCCATTTTTTGAAGGCTATAAACATCTTGGAAGAAGTTTCTTTTTTAGTTATTTAAAAAAAGTATGATAGGAAGCAGGGCTGTGGAGATGGAGTCGGGCAGATTCGGGGGGTAAAAAGAGTTGGAGCTGGAGTCGCTAAAAACAGGTCAACTCCAGTTTTTGTTGAACAGTTTGAATTTGAAATAAAATTAAAAAGGAATTGAAAAAAAAATGAATGACCAAGTTGAGTTATTATTTTTATTTATGGATTATATACATTAATAAATAGTTATTTTCTATTTTATTGACATATTAATAAATAAATATAAGGATGGATGTGATATTTGTCATTAGCGATTAAACTGATTCATTTAGTTACAAATCTCACTGGTAAGTTTAGGTAAGCAGCAATTGCAGCAAGAAATCCCAAAATTGATGGCATTCTTAGGAAGTGAGTAGGAAAAGGAGCAATTATTGATCAAGCAACACGATAATTAAGTACATATTTGATGCTAAAGAGGTTTTTAGAATTAAGAATTTTTTTAGAAGATGTAGATAACCTTAATGTTTCACTAACAGAAAGACTGTGGAATGATCTTGCAGAATTGTAAACTCTTCTTTCTACACCACATATAGCCACAAAAAAGCTGCGATCTGAAGACTGATGTTTGTTTTTTCTGAAATGGAGGCGTTGAATGGACAGAATGGGAATGTTTGCTTCAATGAAGAAAAGAGAAACTAGCTTGGTAGACAATGAGATCGTTGCTGGGTTCAATATATGTAGATCTGAAAACACCGAATTTTCTTGGATGACAAACAAATTAAAAAGGCATAAGAAAGCCATCTATGAACTTTCATTAGAGATGAAATTAATCTGAGAATCAATTGGAGAATTCGAAATCAGGACAGTCAAACTGCAGACATTGCAACTGAGTCTCTATCATCCTCTTCCAGTGATGAATTAGATTTTGAGAAATATTTTTGAATAATATTGAAAAGGCTAAGGCAAAGCAAATGAAACTAAAGAACCAAGAGCCTTAGATATAAAAATGAAAAAAACAAACAAGATTTCTACACGGCCTTTGAAGAAATAGAGAACTATGATTGTGCTTGCAAGATACCTCTTTTAAAACTTATAAAAATCTATCCTGAAAAGTTAAAAGAAGTAGCCCTAACAGTAACAGCTATTCCTTCTACTCAAATTAGTGTGAAAAGACTCTTCTCAGCTCTGAAGTTTATCAAATTGGATCTATGGCCCTTCAACAAAGAAGGTCTTGCTGAAGCTATACTGTTTCTTAAAAATAGCTAATACCAGTTTTTCCATTTCATAATAAATGCTAATTAATATAAATAATTTGGTATGCCATAACTTTTTTTCCTGTAGCATCTATTACTCCTTTTATATTAAAAAAATAAGCTGTAACCCATGTGAATATGTTTACATATATATATATGAGGGAGTCGGAGTCTTTAAAATGTCGGGAGTCGGTCATTTTCCATACCGACTCCACAGCCCTGATTGATAGGCATAATTAAGAAAGTGAATGCAGGATTTTAAATTGAAGTAAATGTCAAATATTTCAGTAATCTAGATAATCATGTTGCGATACAAGTCAGTCTATGTAATCATGTTGCAATGCAAATGAGTCTATGTAATCATGTTGCACAACATAAAACACAGTTATGCTCACCTAGTGCTGCAAGAATGCATAAAAATATTCAGGAAATGTGAAAATTAGGTCTTTAAATTACTGGCAGTTTATAAGTTGATCCAAGAACTATCATTTATTCTTTTCCCTATTCCTAAAGATGTGTAATGTGAAAAAATATCATACAGAAATGATGTTTTTTCACATTACATATCTGCTAAAACACTTCAGCTGCTAGACTGTAATTGGAAGAAGTGCTAGATTGTAATTGTAAAACATGGAGGGAATGAAAACAGCTGTGTTTGTTACATCATAAAGATAAATCAATTTTTCTGCTTCTACAGCAATTATATTATGATATGATATCCATGTCATCCCTTTATGGTTAAGTGTAGGGCCAGTCAAACTGGAAATTGCAATCTACAGGAACCTTGTTGTTTAATCTTTTCACAGTAGTGTTAATGTGAAACAAAATTTATTTTCCAATCCATTCACCAAACTTAATACAAATTGTTGCATGCTTAGCTGATAAATTTATTGTTAAATTGATGAACAGTAACAGTTTCAGCCTTTTAATTCCATAAATCTAGTGCAGGATAATTTCATCAGCTTTGCTCAAAAAATAATCAACTGTAGTCTGTTATTGTAAAATTGAAACTTGAATATCATTTTCCCCTGCCCAGATTGCACTGTAACCTGAAAAACGACAGCTGGAGTCAATGGTTTGTGTCACTTAATTTTTTTCCCCTGTTGCATTTCTGTTTAGCATGTTTTGTTTCATGAAAGGCATTCAAATGAAGGCTAACTGGAACTAGTCTCAGATAAGGTGGGGAAAAGTCCTGCTGTGGGGTGAGGTTGACACACTTTACGAATACAAATGAGGAAGGCTGAAAATGGCCTTGAAGTGTATATTTTAAAGGAACAGTCTAAAGCTAA